CGGGGCCCCCGCCCACGCAGGGCGCAGGCCCCCACCTAGCCAGGGTGCTCTCGGCACTGTCTGCCCGCACCCCGCACCCTGGGGGCAAAGGTCTCCCCACCCACCCAGGTCTATGGGTCCAGGTCCAGACACCTAACTGCTTCTTCCAGCCCCTTGCTCCCTCTCCACCGTCCAGGTCCCTAACCCCACCCCCCACCCCCCCAGAGTGCAGGGACTGGTGAGGTGCAGCCCACAGCCAGGTGCCTGAGAAAAAGGACAGTGACCCAGCTCCAAGACAGGGTCAGCCCCACATCACTGCCCACTGGGCCCCACCCCCAGCTAGCATCTCCCCACCCCCACCAACCTCATCCCAGCTGGGTTTCTGAGAGGCAGTGAGAGAGAGATAGAGAGGGCAGAACGAGACAGAGACAGAGACAGAAGGGGCAGGAAATAGAGATGGGGAGGGAGGGAGAGATACAGAAGGGCAGAAACAGAGATTAAGGCGGGGCACAGAGAAGGGGGGCGGGGGAGAAACAGACAGAAGAGATTGGGAGAGGGAGAGGCAGAGATAGGAGGGAGAGAGAGACAGACAAGAAGACAGAGTGGGAAGGACAGGCAGGGACAGCAGAGCCTCTGGCACTGGACGGGGCCAAAGTGCAGCCTACCCTACCCCTCTCTAGGTACCATCAACAATGCTCTTAGCCCAAACTGGATGTTTTCTAAATGTTAACTGGGAGACTCGATTTAGCAAAACTACAGACTTACAAAATTTTCTTCAGGAATTTTCTAGAAACAAACCCAGGTCTGAAGTAGCCACCGAAAGGGGGAATATATATGTGGTTATTTTTCTTTTTATGCTACGATCCCAAGTTTTTCTGACTCCTTAAAGTCAAGGCTAGAGGGGGTAAGGAACAGAGCCAAGCGAGGTAGCGGTCTGAGCCGTGGACTGTAACACTGCAAGGGGTGGTTTTTGTTCAGGAAGCAGGGGAGGTTCCAGTCCCAGCGAGCCCTGCTCCAGATTCTGCACACCTGACTCGCGGATGCACCTCTGCTTCCCAGCAGCCCAGTCTCCTTCCTTCAGCCAAGTCAAAGCGACTCGTGTTCCTCTTTTCCCATGTATTTTTACCTGTTAGGGTATTTTTTAAACAGATTGCATATTCTTTCTTTCCTTTCTGTGAAATGGTTGTTTTCATTTTTTTTAAAACATTTTACTGGGGCTCATACAATTCATCACAATACATAGATCAATTGCGTAAAGCACACCTATACATTTGTTGCCCTCATCATTCCCAAAATTCGCTTTCCTCTTGGGTTCCCGGAATCAGCTCATTTTCCTTTTTTCCCTTCCTCCTCCCTCCCCACTCCCCCCTTCCCCATGAACCCTTAATAATTTATAAATTATTATTATATCTTATCTTACACTGCCCTGCTTCTCCCTTCACCCACCCCTCTGCTGCCCATCCCCCAGAGAGGAGGTTATATGTAGATCCCTGTGATCA